ATGGGGACAAATCGGACCCAGAAAATTACAGAGTATTTAACTTATTAAACACTAAAATTAATAACGAAAGTGATAACAAATAAACTGAATGAAATTATAACACTAGCAGAAGAACAACAAAGTTTTAGGTAGGGAAGATGATGCAACGACGCTATATTTATAATGAGGCAAGGGGAAGAGAAATCATTAGAATACAACAAACTGATTTCGTGGACTTTAAGAAAGCATTTAATCGGGTTAAATTAAAGGACGTTATCCACTTATTGCACGCAAGGCAGCTACCGCTAGGAATATTCAAAACGATCGAAAATATCTACCAAAACAACACAATAAAAGAGTAAAAGTAGGAGAAGAACCAACTGACCCTTTTGAAGCTGGCACTGGGATAACACTCTAAGATTTAATCTCTAGCTCATCGGATGACCAAGAAAAAGGATGTGAAGAAGTGATCATCAAGGATATCAGAGACATTTTTGATTCCTCGCGATGCTTAAATAACAACTTTTACGAGATATAATACTAACATAATATTACTAATATCCAACTTATAAACAAAAAAACAATGGTTGCAGTTGCAAAAAGGAAATAATCCCAAATTTCATAAAAATATTCACCAGATTATGTCTTTCCGATGATTGTACGTATTGCAGTACTTGGATCTTTATATTTTTGACAGTTTTATTAGTGTGAGTTCTTAGATCTTTTTGTGTAGCGTGCTAATATACAAGTATTTATGTTTCATTTCACCCTCAGTAAGCATTACTTGTATTTCAAAAATATTAGCATGTCTTATGCTAAGTAACATTACTGAATTAACAAGTAAATGATCAAAAAATGGTCAAAAAAAAACTATCTACTATTCTACTTTTGTAGAACTTGGGACTTATCACTAATATTTTTTAAAGCAATGGTTGAAATATATAAAACTTCGATTAGGAATCAAATGATTTGGCTTGTCCAACATATGTTGCAGTATTATTCTGTTCGTTAAAAAAATCAGATGAATCTCTAAGTGAGTGATATATAAAACTATATATTAAAGCGAACTCCAACATTTTTTAGATTTGTTAAATATATGAGAGAATCGTTGACGGCCCTATCATATATATTATATATAAAAATATATACAACACATGTCACACATTATTTACACTTGATCTTTGAAGTTTTTTATGTTACGAAAAACAGTTCTGAAATGCCACCAAAAAATAAGGACAGTTACTTTCACTTTTTCAACCATATAGCCGCATGTAGAGTAACATAATTCCCCAGAAGCACGAAGTAATTCCAATCACCAAGGGCAGATGTTTCAGCCAAGAATTGACTAAATATATACAAATAATTACCACCCAACTGGGAGTGCTAATATACACTGTAGCCATTATTGTTTATTAAACTGATCATTTTTACCCGAATAATAACAGAACATACAAATAAAATTAATTTAATATCAAAGTTTCCAAAGTAAAAGAATTTTTTATTTATAAAATTTTTATTTTAAAGAAACATCTATTGGCACTTATTGAATGGTAAACTGAAGTGCAATAAACTAGATTTCAGCCATTCTGTTAGTATTTCTCCGGAGTTGTATATGTTGTTGAATATCTTTGCGATTATTGCTATTAATTTGTTGTCCATTAGTTTGAGTAGTTCTGCTTGTATATTATCAGGGCCTGCCGCTTTGCCATTCTTTAACTGTATTATTGCGGAATAAACTTCCTGCTGTAAAATTCTTGGTCCATCATTTACCTTTTCTTCTAGCTCAAAGGTGTTATCTCTTTTTTCTTCAAATAGTTTTTTTAGATATTCTTTCCACGTTCTTATTTTACTCTGTTTGTCCAAGATGATGTTTCCGTCAGAATCAGTCATATTTCCTTTCTGCTTTCGTCTTAGTTCTCCTATGAGTTCTTTAACTTTCCTATGTACATTGTGACTATCGTACTTTGACTGCAGTGTCTCAATTTCTTCGCATCTTTCCCTTGCTTCTTTTTCTTTCACTTCTCTGATTTTCGTTCTTATTAATATATTTATGGTTTTATATTTGTCTGGGTCATTTTTGGCTTCTCTTCTCTCGTCCATTAGTTTCAGGATCTCATCTGTTATTTGTTTGTTATTTGGTAATACAAAAAATTCTTCTAATAATTAAATTTTATCTGTCTCATTCATATTGACAATTGGGACATATTATTTTATACAATTTAAAGTAGATGACTTTAAAATTATATTGTTAATATTTTTGGAGTGTATTCCTGGGACGATTTTAATGGAATAAGTTCATTAAATTTCATGAAATCAACTTTAACTTAAAAATACTCGTCAGAAAAATGATAGCAGGTGATTTGTGTTCAAAAAAGATAAAAATACTCAATCGTGACAAATTTTTTCGTTAGTAGTTCCATTGTAAATCATTAGGAAAAACCAGGAAAAAACTCATGATACTCTCTCGACATGAAAAGTATAATAAATCGTATAATACGTCAAAACAAACGTATTTTCAACATAAATTGTGGATAATTCCCGTTAAAAACAGCAAATAAAACTTTTATGCTGTGCTGACCCTCTACACTGTGAGTATTATACTACGTGTGCCTGAATATAGAATGTAAAAAACTTTTTGAAAAGAAAAATATGACTGTTTAACAATTGCCGGGCGTCCCGTCATGGCCACAATATTTTTTAGCGTTATTAAAGGTCGATTCAGACACATCAGTCCCGTCATAGTCTCGGCGCCGAACCGGTCCTGTTTGGTCACAGAACTATCAACTATCTGACAGCTGGGAAACTGTTTGTCAACTGATGAGTGTGAATGCCGGCAACATATTTGTATTAAAGAATATTTTGTATGACGGATTGTTCGGTTCGGCACAATCACTGTGACGAGACGTGACTGATGTGTCTGAATTGACCTTAAGTCAGTTTCATCATCATCATCAGTGGCATTACAGCTCGTTATGAGTCAAGGCCTTCTTCAGAACAATCTTCCATTCGTCCCTGTCTCTGGCAATTCTTCTTCATGCTTTAACTCCGATGGATTTTAGATCATCCTCTATGTTATCTTGATACCTAAGTTTTGGCCTTCCAAAAGCACCAAAAATCTTCCTCAACCCCTTCCTTTCCCAGATCTCGATTTTCATTTCATCTTTCTTATTAGTATAGTCCAGGTCTCACAGGCATATACTGCTATTGGTCGAATGACCGTTTCATATATTCAAATTTTAACTGCCATACATACATTTTTTGCTTTTAGAATATTGTTTAACGAGCCCATTGCACTACTTCATTTTAATAGTCTCTTTTCTGTTTCTTTTTCTTCTTACCCTTTATTCGTTATTGTTACACCCAAATACTCAAACTGGCTGACATTTTCAATTTTGTAATCCTTATCTCTCGAATTTATTGTGTTCTGTTATCTCACCATGCATTTCCATATACTTTGTTTTCGCTTCATTTATATACAACCCAAATTTTCTTGCTTCACCTTCAAAGTTCTTAAGCATGTGTTCAAGTTATTTTTGTGTTCTTGTTAAGAGGACTACATCATTTGCGTACGCTATAGATTGCTGTTTATAGTGGAAAATGGTACCCGTAGTTTGGATCTTACTTTCTCTCAAGACAAAGTTAAACAGATCAGTAGAAAGTGGATCACCTTATCTTAATAGTCTTGTAATCGAAAACAGATTTGACATACTTCATTCGGTTTGTTATATTTAAATTTTAAAATATTTTAAAATTGGCTTGGGTTTATGAGTTTTTAATGTGTCCCTTTTATACAAAAAAAAAAAAATAGAAAAGTAATTCCATTTGCATAGTTTTTATCGTCAAATATTTTTAAACCGGTCTAATTGCACAGTTAGAAAACAATCCTATTGACCGATAAAATTACTGAATTACATTAAGTAATGGGTATTTACGCGGTAATTATCAACGAGTCATTTAGGCAGCTGGTTACACTATATATTTAATATTTCCCTATGTATCAACATTATTAATTTTTCGTACTATCTTCTGTTACTTATTTTATCTAGCACATTATTAACTTAATAATTTCTTAATTATGAATTTCTCTTATTTAACTCAGTTAAATTAATGAGTACCGATTTTTGAAACGAAGCGCGTTCTATCCTGATTTTTCAGTCTATCGCCAAACTACCACACACCTAGCACTGCGCCGACATGAGCGGCATGGCTGCGCCGTAAGACTAACACTGCATTTTAACTATGGCTTCTAGTATAGTAATAATAATAACGAAACAGTTCGAAGGTTTTTAAGGACAAAAACTAATAATTGTGTATAATGTAGTTGTAAATAATTATACACCTAAATAAATATACACTTTAAATATATATCTTTACTTTAAACGATCTTTCAAATGAGGTATTACTTGCCATATGACCCCACTTAAACCATTTGTAAAGAATATGTCATTTAAATATAAAGACTATAAACATGTGCCTAGTTCAGTTATCCAAGAGTTTATTACTAAAGTTTTATTATCAGAAAATATGTGTGCTGTATATGATATATAGATAAGATAATTAATTCATTATAATATGCGTCTTTTGTTCTTCTTATTAGGCAAATTGCTTGTATTTCTCGATTCTTTATTGTGTTTAATAATGATTTGCACTTGAATCCAATACTTTAGCGGTCCGTCGCTGATTTTATTTGTGCTATCAATACTACACTTCTTTCGTTCATTTTGCTAATGTGCTCATTGTATTCTTTTGTTTGGGGACATTATATTTTCAACTTCGCATTATACTGTCCACTCCTTTTCTAATACATTAAGGGTTTTGCGGTTAAGTTATAATGCCCATGTTTACGAAGTGACCAATACAATAGTAAAAATGACCAATTTTTTTGGCTACAATGCTCAAAATCTAATTTAAAATGTTTGATTTTAAATATGTGTTGTTGTGAAATCAAATAAAAAATAATCGAAATAAAATCAAACAAATTAAAAGAAAATAATCAAAAATAATAAATTTAGAATACTTACATCCCTCAGAATCGACACGATTTTGATATTCTTTAAGTTGCTTTTCTTTTCGTTTTAGATCTAAGTTTAAGGCCTCGTTTCGTTGTCTAAATTCTCTCAATTCCCTGAAAAAGTAAATAAAATAAATAATGTTTGAAAAAAAAAATAAATAAAAACAAAAATGTTTGTATATACTGATGTATTGATATCTAATTGACATAGACCCGTTCCATGCATAAAGAGAATATTGGATTACCATAACAATGAAGAATAACTACTTATACGAAGTGTCAGTGTCAAGTTTCAAGTTAAAATGTCAAATCAGGGTTGCACAGAAAGAGGACACTAACCAAAATTGTGAAAATTGAAAAATAGGTACAATTATAATCATTAGTTAAGATATTAGTTAAATGAAAGTTCTCCTATAAGCATAATTACACTCTTTAAATAACTCAGAAATAAAGTACTTGAAATACGATTTAAAGAACTTACTTTTGAGCAGCAAGTAATGCTTCCCTAGTTTTACTTAAATCTTCGCTAATCGCTTGCTTGGCTTGAATTTCGCTTTGCAGCGAGCTTTGTAAATTCAACAACTCCATTTTATCTAATTTTTGTGATCGTCTATTTCTCCAATTCTTGTCAGTACCGGAGACAACACTTGAAACGCCTAAACAAAAAGTAGCCATTTTACAAAATAAAATTTGATATATGTTTGTACCGTAAATTAAATATTTAAAGCAAAGCAAATATTTTACTAGGTTTTATCTGTTTTATCTAATAAAAAACAAACGACAATAAAAAGATATGTGCAGTGTTTGGAAACTACTAAAATCGGATAACCTAAATGAAAATATTTAAATAAATTTAGATAAACTTTTCTGAAAAGCTTATAAAATTTTTCAGAAAAGTAAAGCACATAAATATATATGTACATGGATTGTATATTTAAACAGATCAATATATTCAAGTGTTAATTACCGGTATGTTTAAGATAGTCCAACTCTTCCGTCATTTTGGTAGCTAATGCTTGTAAATAAGCTCTTGCGTCTTTTTCATCGCTAACCCACTGAATGATTTCAGAGAGCTGCGATTCCCATTGGCCTAAAGCTTCCTGTTTGGTTCTTAACTGTTCATATTCTGTTTCCAGATTATTTCGTTCAGATTGCAGACGATTCATCGATTCAGTAAGCTAAAAAATTATAAATGCAAAAATTAGAAGCTTATTTCGTCTAAATAAAATACGCAAATGAACAAAGCAAAGTAAAGATGAGTTTTTAAAACATAATGAGGTTACGTTAGGTTCAATATGAGTGGGTGCTTAACCACCCTTCCATTTGACCTAAGAAGTCTATTGTGGCTTAACAATAATGAATATGGGATTATATTAAAAAGATTTCGAAGTAATATTCGGTTAAAAACTTTACCTTAAATTAAAAATTAGTTACAAAAACATGTCAACTTTTAATAGATTGTACACATAAAATTAATTATAAGTATAACATAATTACTAATTATATTTTCATTCGTTAAGAATCAACATCATATTAAATATAGATGAACATATTTTATTGATTCTAAAATTACCAATTATATATTGAGTGAAGTAAAATTAACATACGCTTTGTTGTAAAAGTTCAAGAGTTACATACATCTTCTTTTCATAAAAGATTTGTAAAGCTATAAACGTCACATGTTTATTATTTTTCTTCAAATAATTATTTTATTCCAATTTCTCTTGATTTTATCAATTTATTAACCTTATGTTTTGTTTTACTATTTTTATTCTAAAAATAGTTGGGGCTCAACATTTCTTTCAACTAAATACTCTGTTTAATTATTATTCATGAATTTAAATTTTCAATTATTTCAGTTTTATTCTCATTTACCGTAGTATACCTTCCATATATTAACATTTTATAGTGAAATTCACACTGAGAGTGCAGTACAGCTAAGATAGGGCAATGCTTTTCTTATGGGGAATAAAAGCACAGGATTGTCGGCTTTCGCCAGCTGTTGATTCCTCACTCAAGAGCGTCGCACAGGACCGGTTTGGAAATAATGCATATACGGAAATAAGGTCATCAACTTGTTTGTCCTAATTAGCATATAATAATATCCAAGTATTTAATTTGTAATTACGGATGGGCATGGGTGAAGGTAGGAACACGAAACTACACTTCAGTATTCAGTTCTACTTTGAGAAGAGAGCATGGAGTCCCAGACATACACCCGGTAAATAATTAAAAGGTTGGGCTAAACTGATAGTGTTGAATATTTTGTGTTTTTTACAAAATACGAAACAACTTAATGCGAGTGCTGCTGTAAGACGTATTTAGTTTATGAATAGTGTTATCGAAAGAAGCATTTATAATATCAAAAAAGAAAAAGAACAAAGTGGAACGTTGAAATAAAGAAGTTCTTTATGGAGAATCGTTTATGACAAATTTGCCGCCATACTTAAAGCGTATACATAACTTTATTCAAGGTAATGAGAATATACTGCTGTTGTCTCTTTCTACTTTATACAGGCTTCTGAAAGAAATCGGATTTGTTTATAAGAAACGTAGCCGAAAAAGCATCAAGGTGGACGAAAGGATATTATTCATTGATGCCATAATTATTTGAGAACTATACGACCTTTGCGAATAGACGATTGCAATATCATATATTTGGACGAATCGTGGGAAATGTTGGCCAATCTGTTAATTACGAATGGTGCGATTTCACTGCACAAAACAGTCGCGATTTTTTCCTCAAAAATTAAGTACTGGTTTACAATCACCTACCAAACGAAGTCCATAATGTTTTATTGCATGAAGGATTTTCAGGAAGTTTCATTCCTGGCACACAGCGTGTTTTTATGGTAAAGAAAAATGATGGAGACTATCACGATGAACTGGATGCCACATATTTAGTGGTTTAAAGAGACGTTAATACCAAATTTACCAAATAATGGTCGCAGGAATGTCATTTTAATGGACAATGCATCATATCACCCTCGTAAAGAAAGATTCCCTAAACATCCCTGGAATAAAGCTGCAATCATTTGCCCGTTGAAAAAGTTTTTCGGTAGCTTATGAATAGTTGGAAAAGGAATGTGCAAACCGTTTCGCTCTAAGTGAAACCGTTTGGATGTCACAATTGTCCAAAATGTGAAAATGGCCACTTTTCAAACGTCACTAACTAAAAAGCAATTATATGAAATCTATTACCTATCGAAATTTTACTAACCATAGTTTTTTCATAATCTATGGATGCAGTTCCCGGAGGTACCACCCTGTATAGCTATTAAAAAATGTAATTTAATGTATATTTGTTAGTTTAATATAATGTATACAATTTTAAAATAAAATTCTCGCTAAAAACTTAAGTCTTTTTATTAAAATGCATGCCATTTATTTGACTAATTGAAAACAATTATTTGAATATATATATATATATGTATATATATATATATATATATATATATATATATATATATATATATATATTATAACAAATATCTAAAGTCCCTCTGTTTTATTCTAATTTGCAATATAAATTCAAATCAAAAAAGGTAATTTTACTCGCAATAGAGTCCCGCCTTAAAGATCTTTGAACGGTTCTATACGTAACCACTACTTGGACCCGTTTGTGCTGCCAAGCACATGGTGTGAAATTCGACAAACGCGCATTTCTATCTTAAACGTACTGCACTCTCAATGTGAATTTCACTATAGTGATTTCACAATATTCATTTTGGGGCAAGACTTCATATTTTACAAATATTCAGTGTTCTTTGGTAATTAATCTTCTCTTAATATTTTTTAACATAACATACTTAACCACTCTGTTATATTTGCAGATAAAATCTTTTAGTTATCTAATTTTTAACTTAAAAAATCTAAATTCAATCTGTTTTAATACTTAAATTTATATATTTCTATACATCATATTGTCCTTACCATTGCTTTTTTTCTAATTATTAATTTTTTGGAACTTCATGGCAAGGCAAGACATTTAACTTTATGCTGTCAGCTAACACAAGATTTTTTGTTGTAGTTCTTTTTATTATTGCACTTTTTCTTGTAAGTACGGTATTGGGACTCCCCAATTAACACCACGTGCGTGCAGTGTTCATCTCAACAACTGATTTAAGAGATATAGCAAGACAGCATCAATGCTGCTACTACAACGTATATTTATCTCCATGTGAAAAATATATTCAGCCTCTACTCCAGATGTGACAGTAGGTCTGTATTAAAGCACGTACGAAAACAAAATTTTTCATTTAGTTAAATAGTTATAAATAGGGTAAATAATATTAAATAAGGCAAAATAAGGTACCATAATGTTAAAAAGTAAATGCAGAAAACACTGTTCTGTACCGTAAACCGGTAATTACCGTTCGGAAGCAATAAGTATGTACTTTTATTCCTCGAGATAAAATGTACATTGTCGTTGGGTCGTGAATTAACAATTGGGAAATCAATAACAAATTGTATGATGGTGTGTGGTGGAAGAGTGATAGCAAGAAACTGATTTTTACTATAACTTCTTCTAAAGTGAATATTTTTGTTTTTCTGAGAGCTAGTTCCTCTTTTATCTCGTTGGTGCTTATACATTGTATTACTATTAATTGATGAACACAATATTATTAAAAATTAGATTTTTTTACAGAAAACTGTGCTATATGTTAATTTTTGTATGTGTTTTCCAAAGTAAAATATTAGAACGTATTAATATGAAGAAAAGAAATGTGTGAAGTAATAAGTACCATTAGTATAATGTGCCGATTTTGAAGAATGTCCACAAACACAGCATGATTTTTAAATACAAGGTAAGTGCTATGAACAAGCTATTAATTTATTACATACTTTACCACCAGTTTATAAACCCTGTCACCGTCATTACATATTAGGTTAGTTTTTCGTGAAGAATTGTTAGTTAGACTGTTATAGAAAGCCCGGAACAGAGACCCAAGCAAAGAAACGATAAAAACTCACGAGGTCTACATTTGAAGACAAGTTTTTGTTTTCTTCGACTAAAATTTGTTTTTCCCTATCGTGCCTGCTTTTTAAGTCAGCTATGACTTGTTCAGAGTCTGCCAATGCTTCTAATCTAGATTTTTCCAATTTTTCTTTAAGCATTTGTACCTAATTTGAAAGAAGATATACATAAACAGAAACAAAACAAATTAACTGGTTATATTAACATAAAAATATATACTAACTTCTCTTTCTAGTAGCTCCCGATGGGTTTCTGCTTCATGAAGTTGATCTCTTAGAGAGGATAATTCCATGTTATATCTGGCTTGTTGCTGTGTTAAACTTTCATTGTATTGGACCTGTAACGCAAATAATACCTATATTAAATCGTCTAAAACAGTTATATTATTAAATCGTGCCAACAATTGGTTTTAAAACGTGCCAACAACAAAATTATTAAAAAAAGTAGTGGCGTAGAGCCATGGAACTACCTATTTTTATGCAGAAACATTTTTTATCTTTAAAACGTCTTAATGTCTGTTAATTTTTTGTGTGTATTTCTTGGTAACAATTGGTTTTAAAACGTGTCAACAACAAAATTATTAAAAAAAAGTAGTGGCGTAGAGCCATGGCACTACCTATTTTTATGCAGAAACATTTTTTTATCTTTAAAACGTCTTAATGTCTGTTAATTTTTTGTGTGTATTTCTTTTTATCTTCATAAATTTAAAAAAATCTGGCAACTGTGTGTGTAATACAACCTCTTGTAACGGCACAACTTGTACAACTACAAGCGGCACTTTTGGCAGACACGCTTATCCGGCTAGCAATGAGCACTCACTCGGGTTTGAATTTTTGGGAAGATAAGTTCGGTTAACTAAAAAAATTAAGGCAGGAGAAGTGCTAAATTTGTTTTAAAGAATATTAATTTTTTGGGGAAGAAGAAGATGAAAAAGTTTTAGTTTGTTTTGTAGTGTATACCGTTTGATTTTTAGCCACTCTTAGCCGGTAAGTCGATCCAATTATCAATAAAAAGCATAAAAACCATCAGCCACTTTGATTCCTATAATATTGTCATTTTTCCTTTGATAATCGATATATTGTTCACATCATTTCATTAAGAAATATTCTACGTCTAAATCGAAATTTATAATAAGATAAAATCATATGTCAAAATTCTAATTTTGACTTTTCTAATACTTTAGAAATTCTAATACTTTCCTGCCTTAAAAGAACATATAATATAAGATATTCTGTCTCATACCGTTCTTTTATATTATAAAATATATCCACAGCATGCTTTTCGGAAAAATTATCTATTTAATCAATTCATTTTACATAAAATATTGTCAAACCATGCGAAGGTCACAGTATTTACAAAATCATTAGAGCTTTTTGCTTTCATACAAGCTTCCCAGTAACTTTTTGTAATATCTTTTAAGGTTCCAAAGTGCATAATAATAATGTTTTTAGCTTTACAATGCTTGTTAAGTTAACCCTTATTCTCCCACGCCGTTTAGATTTTTTTTTGCAGTTACTTCCCAATGGTACTTCCGTCTTATTTTAATGGTCATACATTTTTAGAATAAGCTAAAAGCGTTGTTTATTGTGGACGATCCTTTCGAGTACCTACAAATCTTATTGTGTATTTAACACAAAATGGTTTGAATAACATTCGAAGTTTTAAAATCAGATGATTTACTACGATTTTGAGTGCAATTGTAAGTGGTATTATTAAATGTTACGCCTGGGATATAAGGGTATCAGAATTGATGGTACTTAAAAGTACCGTCGGGAGACTAAGAGATATAAAAACCCAGTTAAATTCAGCTTATCGTGTTACTCTAATTAAGCACAATGAACAACTGGATAAGAACCGATATGTTTTGAACCAAATTATAAACTGTATAAGGTTTTGTGGAATTTTCGAGTTAGCTTCAAAGCGTCACGACGAAAAGGAAAATTCAGAAAACAGAGACATATTTAAGGAGCTTGTGAATTTTATCCCCGAATTAGATAACGACTTAAAGATTCATATTCAAGTTCCAAATCTTTTAAAGGTACCTCAAAAACAATTCAAAATGATCTTAAGTAAATGTTAGATGTTTCATCACGAGGAAATTACGAAAGAAATTGAAAATTCCCTTGTGTTGCGCCTGATTGCTGATGAAACTACAGATGTTGCTGGTGAATTTCAGTTAGATATAGTTTTTCCGATATTTGTGTAAAGGGAGACCAGTTGAGAGACTTATATTTTACGTGCTGGACGGACATGATGTCAAATTTATTCCCTAAATGCATTTTAAATTGTTTTAAATCCCTTATTAAAACATACTCGGAACAAATTAATTGCTCAAAGTTATGATGGCGCTTTTCTTATAAGTGATGCATTAAACGTTCTTGCTATGCATACCAAATGAATTTAATTATGATAAGTGAATGTTCTATCAATAAGCAGGCTAGGATATTTTTTTCTAATTTATCTGGTATGTGCTCATTCTTCCTTAAAGAATAAAAATTTTAGATGAGGTTTACTTACTTACTCCGTGCCGTTACAACCCTTCGTGGGTTTTAGCCGACTCGACAACATGCCTCCACTGTTTTCTGTCTTGAGCAACCTCCATCCAATTCTCCACGCCCATAGTGCTTAGGTCTCCTGCTATATTATCTCGCCACCGGAGACGAGGGCGTCCGCGTGGTCTCCTTCCAGTTGGGACTTCCTCCCACACCAGTCTTACTGTTCGTTCGTCAGAATGTCTTCTGAGGTGTCCTGCCCATTGGAGTCTTCTGGACTTTATTTCTTTTATGATGTTGGCGTCTGGGTAAAGTTCTTCAAGCTCTTTATTAGTTCTTATCCTATATTGTCCTGATGCTTCATCAAGCACCGGACCAAAGATCTTCCTTAGGATTTTTCTTTCCCAAACACGTAGTCTCTCTTCATTTGCCTTTGTTATCGTCCACGTTTCGCTTCCATACATCACAACGGGTCGTATGATTGTTTTATAGACCTGTATCTTCGTACGTCGTGTTAGTTGTTTTGATTTTATAAGATTTTGGAGGGCAAAAATACATCAGTTGCCGGCCTGAATCCTGTTGTTTATTTCTTGTGATCCGTTATTGTCTTCAGTTATTGTTGTTCCAAGATACTTGAATTCTCTAACGCGCTCAAAGTTAAAGTCATCGATGGTAATGTTCTGACCGATTCTGTCTCTGCTTTGGTTATTGCGGCTCATATACATATATTTCGTCTTGTTTTCGTTGATTTGGAGCCCCATCTTCTCTGCTTCCTTCTCAAACCTTACGAAAGTCTCCTTCATCCTTAATCGCGTGTTTCCTATTAGATCTATATCGTCTGCAAATGCCAGTAGTAAGTTTGGTCCTTCTCGATGAAATACTGTATTCGGTTTTTCGATTCTTGCACTTCTGATTATGTGCTCCAGAGCTAAGTTGAAGAGTTGTGGTGAAAGTGCATCTCCCTGTTTTAGTCCATTGTTTATTTCAAATGTCTCCGAGTATTGTTGTCCAACTCTCACCTTACATCGTAACTGTTCCATACACATCCGTATCAACCGGACTAGTTTTTTTGGAAAGCCAAATTCCTGCATCGCTGTCCACAGTCTGTCCCTACATACTCTATCAAATGCTTGTTTAAAATCTATGAACATCTGATGGAGCTCACGATCAAACTCCCAGAATTTTTCCATTATCTGTTTTATTGTGAATATCTGGTCAATTGTAGAGCGGCCCGGTCTAAATCCGCATTGATAATCTCCAACGATTTCTTCTGTGTATGTTTTAGTTCTTTCTAGCAGGATGTTTGCAAGGATTTTGTAGGTGGTGTTTAGGAGTGATATTCCCCTGTAGTTAATACATTGTTTTTTGTTTCCTTTTTTGTGTATTGGTACAATAACCCCTTCTTTCCATTCATCTGGCATTGTTTCTTCTTGCCAAATGTCTTGAATTAGCTTGTATATCGAACTGTACAACGCTTCTCCTCCATGTTTTAAGCACTCTGCGGGTATACCATCGCTACCTGGTGTCTTAGATGAGGTGGTTGCCAAAATTTTGGCAACGCAGGTTGCCAAAATTTTTCCAAACGCGTTAGAATTTTTAATGACTGAGTGTTCATACTATTTATGAAAATGGAAAAGACCTTATTGCAGCTACGGACATTATACAAAGTACTTTACGTGATTTATCGTCCATTGATTAAGCAAATGGTTATAAATTAAAGCCTCAGGATAAATAGTCACTCTAAACTAAGAGTGTATTATAAACAATACAGCTTGCAAAATGTATCTATTGTATATTTCAAGTTATCAACTCTGTATGTGTTTGCTGATTCATAAATCTCAAAACGAAGTATTTATTTCTTTATTTATAAGTTGTATTTGTTTATATTAATTCTTGTTGACTTACCTCTAATTTTTCCAACTCCGCTTTCAGTCTCAATGAATCTTGCTGATCTCTAGGACCATGTTCACTCCTCACCCTAAGCCGATCAGATTCAGCTTGCATTTGCCTACAATATTCCTCTGACCTTTCTCTAAGTTTTCTTTCTTTAGTCGCTTCAGCTTGAGCCTCTTCAACTCTAGACTCGAGTTCTCTTCGTAGCTTTTCAGCGCGTCTAATGTCGTTTCGTAGAGAGTCAACCTTTTGCATCACCGTTTCTAATTCTTCTTCTTTATCTCTAACCTAAAATAAAATAATAATTACACAATCTTTTCCCTAAAAAATATCTCATGCCAGATGCATTGCCTTTTTTACACCAACGACATACATGTTTTGAAATAACAGGTAATGAGTATGCCAAGGTAACTTGTTTCTCATACAACAGACTGAAAACATAACGAGCTGGCGTAAAATATTGTTTAGGTAAGATTAACTAGATGATACCGCATACGTGGGACCAAGATATGGCTACCGAACAATTTCAATACGTTGTTATATCGGCGTTCAAAGACAACTGTTTGGAGATAATGAGGAATTTCAACGGGAAACTACCCTGATGAACTTTCAGGTGTTCAAATAATCACAACCTTTGCAAATCAATGGGCGGAAGTGAAACGAACATTTATTTAGTCAAAAGATCAGTTAAGTGATGCAATCATCGCAAAGCTCTGTCTGAATACAATAAGGAACTAAGTAGACCAAAAACAAAATCGTGAAGAAGAAATTGCGATTAAATAGAAAAGACTGTAGAAAGGTCATGGAAACGGCACTGCATTATCTTGTACCAAGGAATGAGTTCGTTCTGGACAACTAAGAAGTGATGCCAGGTGCATTTCTAGATGCAGAGGGAATATTCGACAACACCTACGAAGCAATCACAAGTGCGACTCTTTGGCTAAAAGGAATATACGAAAGAAGCTGTATGTGGATAGACTGCATGTTGAAGAACTGTCTGGTGTATACAACGTTACTGGGGGACACAGTGTCAGCATAGGTAGCCAGAGCCTGCCCGAAGGTGGTAATCTTATCTAATTTCTTGTGGAATGTGGTCATAGTGGCTTAATAGTGTCGACTTAACAACGACAGCATAGGTTGTGTGATGATAAATGTGAAAACAGTCTAATTTTGACTAATCAATCATAGTTTAATAAAAAACTTCACTGTATTTAAATCATCTTTCAAAAGAAAGAATATTTAATTTATTATTATAATTTAATTAATTTAAATTTAAATTATAATTTAAATATAAAATAATTATGAGTACAATTTACCTGTCTGGAAAGTTTCTGTTTTTGTTGCCTGAGTTCAGCTAATTTATCAGAAACCTCCGCATATTCAGTCATGGCTAATTTTTTCTGTGCTAAGGCATCCTTAAGTTCTATATCTTGAAATTTTAATTTTTCATTTAAATCCTGACGATCTTTCATGATCTCATCCTTTTCTTGTTTTAATAACCTAATAAGTTTTTCTAGTTCTTTTTGTTTCCCTGAAACAGAAAATAGATTTTTTACAAAAATTAAATCAAGTCGCGACAATGAGTTACCAAGAAGCAAACTGGTTATTTTACTTTCATTCTGATGAGCGGTATTGGTATTGCCAGCTAATTACTGTTTTTCGCTAACGAATTTACGAATTTTATCATAATAACAAAAAGGAAATTTTTCAATGTTTTTTAAAATGTTTGTAATCGAGTTATTTCGCACAAAAATAAAAATGAACGGAAACTTCTCTGATTTTTATTTCATACAGCTTGTTTTTTTGTAACTCCATCAGTCAGTGATACTTTTTCAAATCGAGATATTCTTTAACACTCACATCTGATTCTTAAGATTGTGAAAATTCTTACTTAAATTAAATATAAAATTTACACAGAATTGAATTGAATGCGTTTACCGAAATTAATCCGTTTACGCTTGGTACCATTATAAAAATGGGGGGGGGGGGTAATGGCAGTTAAAACACCACGCTTGCCAGGCGGGTTGGTGAGTGAGTTATCAGCCGCCCATTCTGGGTCAGACGCTGTTTGTAGCCGTCCATTCTGGATCAGACGCTACATTTATTTATATTTATAACACTCCTCAATGTAATGTATAAACTCCTAACAAAAATTTTAACCAATAGATTGACGACAAAATTCGACGGATACCAGTAGAAAGAACAAGCTGGTTTTAGAAAGGGATTCAGCACAAGTGACCATTTACTAAGTATGAAAATACTTATAGAACGAGCAAATGAATACCACATTCCTCTATATATGGCGTTCATAGATTTCGAAAAGGCTTTCGACAGTGTCGAACATTGGGCAGTGAAAAGTTCTTTGATTAACAGCCGAATTGACCACAGATATACGGAACTAATAACCAATATATATAAGGAAGCCAAAACAAAAATTAAAGTATATGAAGGAACAAAATCATTACAAATAAGTAGAGGCGTGAGACAGGGTGATACAATATCATCGAAACTACTTTTCAATCAGGCTCTTGAAGATACTTTTAAAAGATTAGAATGATAAAAAAGATGAATTATTTGAAATGATTACAGCAAGACCAAAACTATAACAAATACAGATGAAGACATCACAATGAGAATCGGACAAGATGAAATAGAACAAGTTAAGGATATATATATATATATATATATATATATATATATATATATATATATATATATATATATATATATATCTTGGTCAAACTATAAAACTTAACAAAGAGAACCAAACAGCAGAGATCAAGAGACGAGTTAGACTGGCATGGGCGGCATTTGGCAAACTAAGCTACATTCTTAAAAACAAAAGATATCCACAGCATCTTAAGACCAAAGTATATAATCAATGCGTACTCCCTGTTCTTACGTATGGCTCCCAAACGTGGACATTTACAAAAGCAAACATGGACAAAATCATAAAAACCCAAAGAGCAATGGAAAGACAAATGTTGCACATAAGACTAATGGATAAGAAGAGAAACGAGTGGATAAGAGAGAAAACAAAAGTGAGGGATGTTAGACAAGAAGTTGCAAAATTGAAATGGAGATTTGCCGGACACAATATAGACAAAAAGAAGAGATGGAACAAAATTCTTATAAGTTGGAGACCGTGGGAATATAAACGAAGCAGAGGAAGGCCCCAAATGAGATGGGCAGATGATATCAAGAAGCACGTGGGCTCTAGATGGATGACTGTTGCGACAGACAGAGAAGAATGGAAAAGGATTGGGGAGGCCTATGTCCAAAGATGGACCGAAGAAGGCTAATTAGATAGATAGATAGATAGACGCTTGGTACACTAAGCGCTTATTCAGCGCTTGCTGGTTTGGTTAACGACGTTTCTTATTCCAGCAGTGACCAAAATTTTAAATACATAATACAATAATTGTAAGCCACAAGGTCAGTGACCAATAATTAAAGAAGAACGAATAACGAAACCTTCACTAAATTGAAATTTTCTATTATATATTTTTTAAAATATTCTTCATCGAAAAGAAAGTACAAATAAATTCACTATTTCAAGTTATACTTTACTGTAAGTAAAGTATACCTTGACTTGTATACAAGGCAAAATAAATTTGTGCTGTTAGGTAAATAAATGTTAGTGTTGGAAGACTGTAAATAAATTAAAACAAACATTACAATACTCTTGATTTTCTTACCGCTATCAGCACCATCTAACGAGTCTATATGCATTTCCCTAGAGTTATTCGCTTCCAGACTTCTTAATTGAGATTCTAATTCGCAGTTCCTCTTAGTCAGGGTATTAATTTCGTCTTGCAACCGTCTCGTACTATCCGGCGACATTTTCTTCTCTATCTCTTTTTCGTGGTTTAAAGCCAACCCTATAATATCACTCTTGTTTCGTTGATTTTGTTTTTCCATAAATTCTGATTCTGCACACGCCGACAAATTACTGAGATCACAAAGATAACTAAAAATTAAAGAATTAGATTTAAATAAATTTTTAATGAAATTGTTAAATTCATACTGGATTTATGATATGCAGATAATCCAGTGCTAATGGCGGATAAAAAACGATTTTTTACACAAATTTACTAAAGGGTTGTCCAATCGACCTTTTCATCACGTGACAAGCGCATGCGCAGCCGACATGTTGAAACAATGGTAAGTCAATAGTTTCGTACTGTTTTCATCAACAATGGCTAGGAACGTAGAATTAACTCCACAATTGAATCAATCATTAAAAAAAAATATGAGAGACATTCGAAAAACGGCAATAAGGCAAATGAAATGGAAATGTCTGGATCTTTCCGGACCTTTCACTTTTATTTGTCGTAGTTAAGTTTTATCCACACATATTCATGCAACATACAATATAAGACTAATAGTAATAAAACATCGTTATACATATTTAATGCATACCTTCCTTGTGTAAACGAAAATCCAATAAACGGCAGATGTAGACCAGTAAAGGCGTTATTGGCAGTCGGAGGTAAAACATCTGAAAGCCGAATGTCAGCATCGTCAACGTCAAAATTTGATGTATCTGTCGGACTGGATACTTCTGGTATATAGGGAGCGGTACTATCTCTAACGCCATCCCAGTCAACGTTTTCGAACCAAGGATGAACCTACGAACAATAAAAAGATCTATTAGATTCATGTTAGACAATGCTGTCATAACAAGATGTTGTTATGGATATATTGTCCCAAACGTGTCATTGAAGACGTCCTACAATACAGTCAGTTTAGATTTCCGAACATGGCCAAATTTATACAAGTTATGCGAGGAATAAACATTATATTTCTATCATCTAGGTTTAGGATATTATGTGGTGAATTATAAGTTTTTGATGTCACTCAAAATTGTTTACTTTGAAAGATTTGTCTATTCCCTATTCAGTCTTCTTTCATTTACTCCGATATCTCGATTCTATTCAAAATTATGGATTATTGAACAAAGTATTGCATTTTCTTTGGATGTTTTTCTAATTTTGACAATAAATATGGAACAACTATTACAGTAGAGTCATAGATCTCCCACATATAAAATAGATACAAAAGCTGTAACCGTTTTAATCAATCAAGTTCGATCAAAAATGGCAATATACTAGTTTTTTGTTTTTTTTTTACTGAAAAAACTGTTCTAAGCTACCAAATTAAACATATTTTGGCCATATAAGACTCTTATAGTGCTAATTTTGAAAGTGTGTATCATTTCTAAACGTTTACAAACTTATCAATAATATATATATATATATATATATATATATATATATATATATATATATATATATATATATATATATACAATGTATCACAGAAAAGATCCAAAAACTATTGACTCGAAAGTTTTTGGTCGTAAACCGTGAACAGCAACGAGAATCTATGTAGAATAATTCGTCAATGCAGATTATCTACCTTTGTGTTTACAGTATAAAGCTTATACCACTTCCTACCAAGATTACAAAGGCAATTCATGATTTTCAAAATGTATATTTTAATTATAATCACAAGTTGTTTACTCCAACAAGCTAAATTCGATCAATTTTTAGATCGAATATTTTAAGGAAAAAAATCTCATAAAAATAAAATAATTGTATAAGAATAAAAAAGTAATCATACAACACGAATGAGAGAATATGAGTTATATGCGTTTGTTCTCCTTAAGAGATAACTACCACAATATTAGCCAGAAATTTTGAGAGTTTGTTAAGGACCACAAGACCTTCACCGATAGAAAATCTTCAAATTTAAATTTGACTTCTAAATTTTCATTTGGTATGCGTAGAATTACCTTATCTTAATTATTTTCTCACTAATGTTATTGTAAAAAAAGGTCTTTGATAAACAAATAGAATAGCTTTTAAAACTTATCGATGGATCCATCTGAAATTTTGAGAGTATATTAAAGACCACAAGACCCAACTTTGAGTGCAATAACAAATATCTAGGTTGATTTTTTACGTTAGTTATAAACAATTAACGATTTTGCTTTATTTTGCAGTTTTGAAGCAATAAATTTATTTTTACAACATTTAGCAATCGCTATTTTAAAGCTTTTTTATGATTTAAAAGATAAAGTTTTTTAATTTAACCTCAAATATTATGTTTTGTAAATGTAAGCAAAAAATCGAAAAATGGCATTTTTTACATTAAATTGTTAATGATTAAAAAAAGGCGCTGGAATGTCTGCAGAAAACGTATAGGCTTTTATTAAACATATAGGTCTGTAATAACTAAAAAAACTTCTGGATTTGTCAGATTCCCTAACAGAGTCTTTTTTGTTTAAGTCCTTGTACTACATACCATTCACTGTAATGACTCAGATGGTTGATGCAACTATAAGTTTTTTGAAAAAAAAACTTGCAATTTATTTTTAAAACTGTTCTTTATTTCTTAAAACTTTGATTCCTTACGATTTATTTTTAAGTGTTTGCTTAAAGTTTTTTTAGGCATTGGATGAGTTGAAATTACCCATCCCAAACATGTACTGCATTTAAATTTTCGTATTTTGTATTTTAAGTATAAGTATCATAACGAATGGTGGCATTTATTGGGTCAAAAATCTAGAACGTTATTTTAAATTATGCAGTTATGTCGAGTAAATGTGTAGGCGCTGATTTAGTACAATGATCATTGATTAAGTAATTGAAAGCAGATGTAAAACGACGACACATTTATTAAAACTTTTAATAACGAATTAATGAAATAAAGATAAATTTGATACAAATAAGATGGAAATAACAATCGTTTAAGACTCAGTGTACATGTATATGCATATAGTTTTTGTTTTATTTTGACAATGCTAACTCCTTACTTATTTCTACTGGATTAATATACACTTTCCAGTAGATATATTTAGATTGATTTTCGAACTTATAATATATGCATATTTAGGTAAAAGAATTGAGAAGTAAAAGTTGATTCTTTGGAAGCAATAATCGTGATTTTAATTACATCAGAAACTATATTTTTTTGTAAAACAACATATTTACATTTTTTAGTGTGTTATGTGTTTACAAGCTTTTATTCTAAAATAAATAATATATTTATATATGGGATTAAACCACAATTGATTGTAATGAGAATTAATTTTAAATTTATTTTGAACTTTCGACAAATGCAGAAAGTCTTTTTCAAAAATATTGTTGTAAAATAAGAAATTATGTTAATCTGCAAATATTTATAAACTGGCGCTTTGTGGCAACCTATTTGACAGTTGACTTACTTGGTCTCGATTTTGTAGACATATAGCCAAATTTTTAGTGAAATTGTGACGATGTGTTATACCCTAGGACTGATATCAAATTCTGATGTTTTTGTGCCGATGTAATTAATTGTATCCCTGACCTTCTATTAACTGATTCTTCTTCTTATTGTGCCTGTCCGTTCCGAATGTTGGCGAGTATTCTGGTTATGATGACTTTGTTGGTTGCTATACGAAATAGCTGTATTGAGGTCTTTCTATACCATATTCTCAGGTTAACAAACCAGGATATTCTTCTTCGTCCTGGGACTCTTTTTCCTTCAATTTCACCTTGTAAAATGCATTAAAGTAGCTCGTATCTGCCTTGATTTCTCCTTATATTTCCCAAGTACTGCAGCTTACGGTACTTCACGATGTTGACCAAGGGTGAGGTCATGGCTCTTGAATACAGAACTCATAGTCAAGAAGGCACTCTTTGCCTTTCCTATGCAACACTTAATCTCTTGGGTATTATCCGACGACTCATTGATTATAGTTCCCAAGTAGTTGTATTGTGAGACTCGTTCCATTCTCATTTGGTTCACATACAGATTTGCTCCAGTTATGTTTTCCTTGCTGATGATCATTAGCTTGGTTTTGCTGGTGTTTATATCCAGTCCATATTTTCTACTTGTTTCCGATATTTTGGTCATTAAGTTTTGCAGCCCTTCTATGGTATTGGAAAACACTATTGTATCATCTGCATACCGCAGGTTATTGAGCTTGACTCCATTTATTGAGATACATTCATCAATATCTTTTAGAGCTTCTTCAAAAATGTGCTCCGAGTACAGATTAAATATCACCCGTGGGTAAAATTATGCACCCACATCTCATTCCCTTTAAGATTTTAACCTGATCTGTATATTCTCCATCTATTCGGAGTACTGATTAACTGATTAATGTTGGTATATTCTTGTTCACTTCTTCTACAAACTTTTCTTTATTTAGTAGAATTAAGGCTACTTTTTTGATTTTCCTCTTTTGCTCTATTTCTTTTATGAGTATTGATGCATATTTCCATTGTACTCCGTGCTCATTGTCTGAGGCTGTTTTTTATTCATGATCATTTATCCGAATACTTAGTTCTAGTTCTAGTTAACTAGAGATTTCTCCCAAATAAATATTTATTGCATTCAAAAGGTATTTTATAAAGGCAGTTCTTTGATCTCTGATATGTGTTGTTCGGTTAGGTTTTGGACAGTACAGATCTGTGTGTTGGTTGTATTGAATGCTTGCTTTTTCATTTTTCTGATAAGCCTTTTACCTAAATGGTATTGTTGTTATCTTTCTTCCTTCTTTTGAACATTTCTAGATTGTATTTGGTATTAATGTTAAGTGATTTCCTTTCTTCAATCTTGTGAAGTTCCATGTTTATAGATGACAATGGATAATCATTTTTTGTTAAAATCTTTGTTAGAAGGTTTTTTATTGGAGCAGGTGTTTTGGGCTTTATCATATAGTGATTTGGTGATTCCCTTTTTGATATTTATATTATGGTTTGAGTGATAATTTAAATATATGTTGGTGTCAAAGACGAATAATATATATTATACCCCAATAAAAAGTATCAAAAAGTACCGGTGCAAGATATGGCACTTACAAGGGTTAAAAAAATAATCAAGCCAACAGAAATAGTTTTCTGTAAGCAGTCGACGGAAGTATTTACAAGAGATTGAGAGAGAAATGAGAGAGTTCGAGAAATTATGGAAACCACATTTTAATGAACTCTGCCTGGGGGTTATGAGCGCGATGACTGGGCGGATTGAATAGATCAGAAGCTGCGTTTATGCCCAGAGCCGGTCCCAAGCCCGGATTAAAGAGGAGGGTTGATGGGCCAGTTTAGCATCCTACCCATTGTAAAAGGAAACAAAGCTCATAAGATTTGCAATATAGAAGACATAAATGGATGAAATATTGTCAGATCAAGAAAAAGATGGTGCGATAATTTAGGAGGCTAATATTGAAGAAGAAACAGGCTTTAAAGCCTACATACTAGAAGGAAGAAGAAGAAGACATTTTAATAGCTGAGTTGATATGACCACGTAAGACGAACGAAAGAAAATAGAATATCGGGACAAGTTCTAGAATGACAACCCCAAGGTAGACGTGGACGAGGAATACCGGGAGACTAGGAATCAATAAGGCAATAAGGGAAAGAGATCTAGATAATGATATATTTAATGATAAAACGAGAAGTAGATTGAAAAATATAAAGAAGGAGAAGAACGTTATAAAACGATAATTATAAATATATAGCTATTATGCAATGATACTTCAATAGCAGATTTAAAAACATCCAAAACTATACGGATTTAGGTAAATTTACCATATGTTGGCATCTTTATACTAAATCACGAGATCTTCATATTTCGTTGCTGT